AGCTGTGATTGTGGTGTGAAGATGATTGGAACGTCCTCCCTGCTCTTGGCTTACCTATGAGGTTGTGAGTGTGCTTGCTTTTGGTGTAAATGTGGGCCTAATTGTCACCTGGGGGAGGTGACCACTAAAATCCTCCATCTGTAGCAGTGGAGGGTCAAATACTGGATCCACACGGCTTTGTAGTCATGTATCTCCACCTTAAATGCCCATTGTTCTGAAAGGAAGGAACTTCCCTTTCAGACAATTGGCTCCTTTGGCCACGTTCGACCTTGATCCTCCTTTTCTCTCCTGTGAACTAGTACTGATCTGGTGAACCAGGAATGGACATTTCCCCAACTGAAGACTAAGCTGATGCCTGACCTTCCATGAGAGCGACGTCCTGTAATATGCGTGTTCTGATCTCCTTTTTGGTTGTGGCCTTGAGAAAACTTAAGAGATAAACATTGTGTGATCTTGGCAATAACTTGGAAGATTTTTATTATTTATTTGCATCAAAAGGCCACAGAAGAATAAAGCATTTAAGCCTGTTTTAAGAGCACTCATTTTCAATAAAGAATTATGTAGCATGATCGCTCTCTCTTTCTCTTTTTATTCCCTCCCTCCCCCCGCCCCCACACACTTCCTCCCAGCATATCATTACATAACCACACTTCCCATGTGGGGTGAGGACTGGAGAGGGGAGCATGGAGATAACATTACCTTGAAAGACTTAAATAAACTTGTTTACCACTGTGACCTTCACCCTTTGTCCTAGGTCCCAGCTCCTAACATTTTATGACTTTTAGCATCACCCCATAAGCTTTGGTTGTGGGTCCCTCCCAGAGCTAATGTTAATAAGCGGACGTAAAAATACTCACAGTTACATAGATATTTTTTTAATAAATTTTTTATTCTGAACTAATTATAAACATACAGAGAAGTTGCAAAATTAGTACACAGTTCCCATATACCCCTCCATCCAGCCTCCTCTCATGTTAAGAGTTTACATTTTAAATTTTATTTTTTTATTTATCAGAGAGATAGAGAGAGAGAGAGAGCACAAGCAGGGGTGGTGGCAGGCAGAGGGAGAAGCAGGCTCCCCGCTGAGCAAGGAGCCCACTGTAGGACTCAATCCCAGGACCCTGGGATCATGACCTGAGCCAAAGGCAGACACTTAACTGACTGAGCCACCCAGGTGTCCCTGTTCAGAGCTTACATAACCACAGTAACAATGATCAAAATGATGAAATTTACATTGGTACAAGACTTTTTACCAAACTAAAAACCTTATCCTAATTTCTTTTTTTTTTTATCAATCTTATATAATACACCAGTGCTCCTTACATCACGTGCTCTCCTTAACACAATTACATAGATCTTAAATATGAACACACTCTAAGACAAAGGGAGTGGAGTTTATCCCAGGATGGGTGTTTAAGAGATAGGATATACAGGCCAGGTGGCTAGAACACTGCTTTACACACTTGCATCTATGACCTTCACCCCCATGCCTACCTGTCAAGGCTTCACCTCCTCCTCCTCCAGCCTTGACTGAAATCATCGAGCTACGTATGAGGCTTTTTTCCTTCCCACCCCTTTTCTCCTCTCTTCTATTACTTTTTCATAGTTAACGTCTATGTGGAACTAACTCACTGCACTGTTTTTCAATTCGTACTCCCCAAAGTCTCCTCTGGAGTCATAAAACCATGAATAAGAGGAATTAGCAAACAGAAAGCCTATGATTTTAGAGTATCTGGAGTAAATGGGAATCTAACTAGGCTGGTGCTGGTTTACAATTAGGAGAGGGATTATATCTGCCTTTACTCACTATCTCTGAAGGTAACCTGGAGAAATATGACTAATTTGGGGGAGAATTACCACATTCGCCCATAGCTCTAGGTCAGGCTCTCTCTCCCCGAGCTGTGGTAAACCTACAGGCCCCTTCTTACAGAGAAAGCACCAGCTAGCACCCCTGCTGCTTTATAAATGCTCTCTCCAACCTGAAGGGTTTGTGCTCACAGCACAGTGCCATTTTCATTTAGAAATGGGCTTCCAATTGTGTTGACACACCTCATTAGCTAAGCCCTACCTCTTAAGTCAGGGTCTTTTGTACAGTTGTTAAGTACGGGAGGAAGAAAAAAATAACAAGGAAAGGGAGAAAAGCATCATTCTTCACCTAAATAAATAAGGGAGGACAACGTTCTTTATTCCAAGTCCCTTGCAACATGTAATTCTAAACTTTATTATTGTTGTTGCTATTGTTTTCCTCTATTTCACCTTTCTTCCCCCCCACCCCACCCCGCTGGGGCAGGAAGTCACGTTAGCTGTGGACGAGGAGGGTGAGGTTAGATCTGGGTTGTGCTTTTGAGAATTATAGAGAGATGGCTCAATATTGCTTTTCTCTCTATGGCTTCCACCGCTGTGCATTCTCTTCATTGTCAGGTGTGCCATTTGGAAGTGCTCAGTAGAATTTATTTAAATGTTTTATTTTATCAGCCTCTGCTGAGGGCATATTTGGCACTTTATTTTACTTATTGGTTTATTCGATGAGTTGTTTCTCGGTTGTCTAAGGGAATATGTGTCCTGGTAACTACAGCAGGTGTTTAAACGTTTGGCAGGGCTTGTCACTTGGAAGAGAACCAACCCAGCTCGGGCCACATCCTGGGGTAGTAAATTTCGGCTCTACTGTAGGTTTCTCTTGTTCTTCGATGATTTACATGTCAGGAAGAGCATCTAGGAGGTTCTATTGAGTTAGATGACTGCCGTCCTCAGAAATATTTAATGAACCAATTCTCATGGTAAGACCAGGCTGGAGACAATTGCTCATTCCTTTTGCTCTTTTTCTTCCTGTTTCTTTCTAAGTGCTTTCTTGAGAAAGAGAATTGCATCATAAACCTGCGGTATGTAATTAATATGTGATACATGCCTTTTTCTGGACACTTTTGTGTATTTGATGATTAGCTTTTGCTAACAGCAGAAAGAGGAGGGAGAATGTCAAATGAGAGAAGCTACTGCAAAGGCTTTATGTAACAAACCATACTGTCAAACATTACCAGAAAAAACACAGCTGCAGAATGGTGGCAGCACACAGGGCAGAAAAGCACCAACGGCCACCAGAGATAACAACATACATTTAATTTCCTTGAAGTTCTTTATTTACAGGTTATGGTTCTGCAAAGCATATTCTGGAACTCTCTTTGGGTAAACTGATAGTTTTTAGAGCCAGAACATTCTTCTTCGCAAACTCAGTGGCCCTCTTCCCAGGTTTCATGGAATTAGTTTTGTTTTAGCTCTCATTTTATGTCCTTTTCATTTGACCTATTTTTAAGCTGTAATCTTGCTTCATTCTAATTATTGGCTGTCTTGAACGATTTTTCCAGAGATGTCAAAGGATGATTCTAGTTTTGAAATGCAACACTCCACCTAAAACAATCAGCAAGTAGCCCACTGCCTGAAACGTGTATCCTATTCTGTTCAAAAACATTTCCTACAGTTTGGGAACTGTGTTAAAGTCTCTACTCACTCATTTAAGACATGGAGATACCACAATCATTCTAGTCAGTCTCAAATTATGCTCTGGAAAAATTGCCCTAGTGTTCCCAAAGCTTGAATAACCGTAATAATCAACTTCTTGAAAATACAGATTCTTGCCTGGAATTAGACTGGTTTGGACCAGAATGTCCAGGGTGTATGGAGTTGAACCAGACAAAAGAAGGTCAGAACCAAGAGTCCAGAGACATACCAAAGCTTCTAGAACACAATGGTAATCAGATGATTGGTCTAGACTCGGGAAGACGAGAATGTGAATATGAAAAGAGAATTTAAAATTGGGAGATGATGCCAAGGGGAAAAAATAGCTGGCATATGAAGCAAGATGAGATGGAATCCCATGTGTCTCCCTAAGCAGAGACAGAGTAGGTAGTTACTATGGGGCCTGTCTCTATAGAGACATCTGGCAGAGATCCAAAGAAACAGCTCTTCAGACATTCAGTAGTAGATGTCAAGAGCCTCCATGCAGGGATGGGGCACACACTAGGTGTAAGACCAGGTGAATAAATATAGCTCAGGGACAGGAACCCAGCCCAACAGAAACTTGGTTGCACTCATCACAGTTGACATTGTGAAAGCAAACAACCTGATTTAACATGGAGATAAAACATCTCAAATATGAGCCCTTAAATTCCTTCTGCCTAAAGCCTGGGCTGGTTGTATTGTATGGGGTAAGTCTCAGCCCATAGGTGAGGACTGAGTGTACATTTTCTCAAGCGATACTCTGCTCCACAGGACGAGAGCCAAGCACATCACTGCAATCTCTAGGGAGGTATGGGGAAAGAGTGGGTGAGAGACTGGGGCCATGATTTGCAGAAAGGCAGCCTTGGGAAACAGTAGAAGTCAGCAAGCATGGAAACTGTCCTTTGGTGACACATCAGTCTTTTTTCTTCCTACCCTCACCAGCTATCTGTGCCTCTCACCCATTTTTCTTTCATCTGTTGACATATGCTCCCCAAATAATGTACTTGTGTGGAAGCATATCTTCATTGCCCTGGGGAAGTATTATATACATTTATTATGTGGGAACAGAGCTATATGTAATAAGCTCCCCCTTTTTAATGGAAAACATGACTTTTAAGGTAGAGACAGTAGTGAAGCCTGCAACCCCATCACTGAATTACTGTCGGAAGGAAGAATCCAGCCTCTGGCACCTCCGCGGGGCTGGGAGAACCGCTGGAGCCAAAACTGAGAAAACTTCATGTTTTGTAACCCACAGCAGTATTGATCATTCTCTGCTGCCTTCTGTGGGAACCAGAAATAATTGCAGCAAGAAGGCTGGCCAGGGGCATGTGGAAAAAGAGGTTTCCAAGTAGTTGAAGAAGCACCAGGGAAGGGAGTAGCTATCGACTGGGACCTCCAGGTCCCAGGCTGCCTATTGCAACCTGCCTTTTCCTCCATTTACCTTTGGCCAGTGTTGATGTGGAGTAATCAGGAATGTTTCTTCATTCCATTATCAAGCAAACTCCGAAGGAAAGTCTTCCCAGACCACCTCCTGGTTGCTCTCATTTCTAAATTTTTAGCTGGTGACTAGAGTTACTACGAGGTGGGGACCTGGTACCCAATGACTTAAATAATGCATATTTATTTATATCTTTGAATAAGTTTTTTTTTTTTTTTTAAGGCACTTACTGTTCTAAGAACTGTCACAGTGAAGCTGAAGGGGGTGAGTTTGGGCTGGAAAGACAGTTTCTGTTTCGTGAGTTTAAATTAAATCCTTGGCATTATAAAACATTACAGATACATTACCATTGTCGATTGTGCATCGTTCGTATGTTTTTGCTATTGCATTATTCAGAATTAAGTTAAAAATTCTTTTTATTGTGTCTTAATGTTTCTAGGATGTGGACAGATCAATATTTCTAGTCTGTGCACACACTCTACCTAAGGGCTGTGAGTCATATTTGCTTTGAAAGAAATAGCACTTAAGGACTGTCAGTCAAGTCAGTTGTAAGAAACGTAGAACTCTTTAAGAATTACTCTGCCTCCTCCTCATATCTAAATATAGCTAACCAGTTGCAGTGTCTAAGAAAGATAGCTAAGCTGTATTTAAAAATGGGTGCAATTGCAATTAATCAATGCAAATAAATAATGCAAGGTCTTTTTACCTATATGTATCAAATATAGAATCTTTATTAAATTAACATTTATGTAACAGTATGAGTAAGGCATATTTGTAAGGAAGTGACCCAGTTTACCAAAGTCATTTGTATGTCAATATTATAGTATTTTGTTTTAATAGGTCCCTATGCCCTGGCTGGGAAAACACTGGGCAGTGTGTTCACACGCTGGGCTGGGAATGCTAGTCTCCTTTTGGCCACTGCTTAGCTGCATGACTTTTAAAAAATCACTGCCTTCATTTCTTCCCTCCCAAGGTCTGAATCTCCTTTCAGATGACAGGTTGAGGACGACTATTGAGAATTGACTGTATATTTTCAGATTTACTTGCTTGTCCCTATGAGAAGTTGGCATTAATAATGTACAGCTTGATAGAGAAGAAATCCTCTTTTAGCACTAAAACTGGCTTGCCTAATTCAGATCAGCTTACTGTTCCTGAGAGTAAATAAAAGCAAAATTGTCCCTTTGGTAGCTAAGAGACAAATAACGTAACAACTATTTATCCAGTGACTACTTACCTTAGGCCCCTCACTATGTTACTTGTGTGTATATTTAATCTTCTCCCTGAGTGAGCTTCCATTTACCTACCACATAATCTATATTTGCAAAGTGACATTTGGATTCTTCTGGCATATTACTGCCACGGGTGCCAATAAAGGAACCATACTGTGCCCTAATATCCCTGATTATATTTGTATCAGGGTCTGTAGAGGTTGTATCAGCAGACGGAACAATGGACTGTACCATTAAATTAGCACAATTTTGCAGCATTGCCTGGCAGACTCTCACACTTAATCCAAGAGGTTATTCAACCCTATCCAATATAGATTACTCTATAAATATTTGCCCAAGCTCAGCACCAGCCGTTATATCACTAATCACACGCAGGTTTGTTATAGCGAAGACCCCCAGCGTCAGCAATTTGAAAAACAAAGCTAATTAGTTTTGATTTAGGGATGGGAAGACTTACTAAGTTGAAAGTGAAGAGTTCGCATAGGATAGCGGCTATTTAGAACACATATGAAGGTGAAAGATTTACTTTTGTTTGCATAGGATTTTGAGAAGGAATGGAAAGACTGTTAGGCTAAGGATATGGGCATATGCGACAAGACCCAGTGATGATGGCAGTGAGGGTGGGGCAAGAGAACAATCCCCTTAAAAATGCTACTGCAGGTAAATACCCATTAAATAAATAGTGTACTTTCTATGCAACCAGGTTTAGGACAACTCCCTGGCTTCCCCTTCCAAACAGATCACTGATCCTAAACCCCTCCAATAGGAGAATTCTGGTACTAACAACAGTGTTGACCCATATGGTTTGATTTGTGGGGAAGGTAGCAAAGGAAGACCTTACCCCTATATCCCTCAGCTACCAGTCTCTTATGGTACTGAGGTTATTATTATTATTATTATTATTATTATTATTATTATTATTATAGTGTTTGCATCCTTTAAAAAATATTTTGAATTGCAAAAATTTTCCTTAGTAACGTATATCTTTATTAGCACCTAATAACACAGTATTACTTATTCCAGTTTCTGGAAAGGCACTATCAGTCAATGGAAAGACCTCATTCCTGAGACATGAAATGAAGAGAACTAACATTAATTGAGCCCTTACATTGGGTCAACCACTGTGCTACCCTCTTTAATACACTTTCATTTCATTCAATACTCAGAAAAATTTTATTTGGCAGGGCCCATAATATCCCCTTTAAGGATGAGGACACTGAGACTCTATGGGTTTAAATGACTTAGCTATGGTCATTTCACACTGTCACCCATTGAAAACCAGACTCTTCTACTCACAGTTGAGATCTTGGGTAAGTTGTTTCTCTCTTTGGGGTCAATTGCCTCCTCTGTGGAGTAAGAGGAGCAAGTGAGATCACTGGTCTTTCAGCTTTTTTGATTATACTACTCTATCAGTAAAAAAAAAAAAAAAATGAGCATTTACCCTCTAGCTTATATGTATTATAAGATATATATATATATATGGACACACAAATATATGCTATTATGAACCCATTTGCTAAATAACAAGCTCATTTTTTTCTTAAATTTTACATTTAAAATACATAAAATATAAATCCTAACATCTTTCTTCCTCAACTGAATGAATCAAAACTCCTGTGCATCCTACTTTGGAAACTGCTGGACTAGATGATCTCCACAAGTTCTGAAAATCTACGCTTCTAGGTTGTCTGTTCAGTTTTGCAAATTACAGAAAGAACGTGTTGATAAAAATCTTACTGCCATAGGTTAATTACAATAGAGGAGCCAGGAAGAACTGGAAAAACTAGGTCAGGAAAGTTCAGTTGCAAGCAGTGAATGATGTAATGTGGAGAAACGAGGAACTCAATAAATAGGGAACAAGTAAGGATCAAAGGAGGTTACAATTAATAAAAATAGTCATAATAGTGATAGCATAGTAATAGCAATAGCATCCTTTCTATGTCCTACGTGCTGTTTAATAATTTTGCGTGTGTTTATTTATTTAATTAATCATCACATTCCTATGAAGTAGGAATGAACTATTATTATATCTGAATGAGAAGTAGAGGAGAAAATATGGAACAGAGAGGTCATGTAACTTATCAAAGGTCATATATCTAATAAATGGCTGAACTGAAATTCAAACCTAGTCACTTGGTCTAAAGAATGAGCTACAAAAAGAAGCAGAGAGGACAAAAGATCATAAAAAAAAATTGTTAAGCCTAAGTGGATATTTGTTCGTTGTCTTGTTAGAAGCCAAGACTCCCTACATCCTTCCTAAAACCATTCCTCGTTTCCCAGTCAACATTTGGATGAGGTTCTCTCTCATCCCCAATTCTGAAAGTAGACCCACACAGCAGTTGTATTAGTTCTCCAGGGTTCTCCAGAGAAACAGAACTAGTAGGATAGATGGATAGATAGATAGATAAATAGAATAAAAGATAAATAGATTTATTATAAAGAATTGGCTTGTGTGAGGATGGAGGCTGGGAAGTCAAAATCTCCAGTGTGGGCTGGCAGCTTGGAGACTAAGCAGAGCCAATGGTGCAGATGAAGACCACGTGCAGTCTGCTGGAGGATTCCTTCTTGCTCTCAGAGGCTGGACTTTTTGTTCTTTTCAGGTCACCAACTGATTCGATGGGGCCCACCCCCATTATGTAGGACAGTCTTCTTATTCAAGGTTCACAAATTTAAATATTAATCTCATCCCAAAACACCTTCCACATTGACACATTAAAATTCACCACCAAGGCTGTGTTAAGTTATCCAGTGTATTTTATCTACCTCATTTCAGAGATGGATGTGTGGTCCAATTAACACCAATTAGGGTCAGGAAGCTTACCTCTATGACTTCATACATTTCTGGAGACAGGACTACCTTGCAAACATGAGGGGAGAAGTTGCCTAGAATGCAGCCAACACCAAGCAAGCAAAGCTGAGTAATGGGGAGACTCCAAATTCATTCCATAAAACTTGATCTAAGCCCTTAAAGAAACTAGATGTACCTGTGGACTAACCAATTATGTGAGTTAATAAATCCCTTTTAATTGAATTTGCTTTGGGTATTCTGATACTTGGAACGTAAAAAATGCTAACAAATGTATAGAGAGAACTAGGCAGGAGAGGAGCCCAAACTTCTTGAAATCAACCTCAGGTCATAGGCAGCTACCATGTTGTTTCATAAGAGGACAGCTGATTATTAGATCTGGAATAGCATTGCAGACATTTTCATATATTTCTAGGTGCAGAGAAAAGCCTGGATGACATTTACTGCCAGATAACTCTTGCCTACTTCAGGGTTTCACCTAAGTCTCACTTAATGACTAATAAATAAAGAGAAGGATGTGATCACCCATGAATGAGATCAAAAGCAGAAATATGGAAGGATGTGTGACTAAAATTATCCTAATATACTCTATAAAATAATTCATCTTAAACTCTAGCGAAAAATAATCTTGCAAGAATCACCTCTACAAATACTTTACCTTTTTTTTTTTTTAAATCCAGGTCAATCTCTGTATATTTCTTTAAATTTTTTTTTCTATTTTTATTGAGAAATAATTGACATACATCACTGCATAAGATTAAAGTATACCACATGATGGTTTGATTTACATATATTGGGAAATAATTATCACGATAGGTTCGGACAACACCCATCTTCTCATTATAGATACAACAAAAAGAAAAAGAAAGGGAAAAGAATATTCTCCTCATGACAAGAACTCGTAGGATTTATACTCTTAACTTTTCTGTATATCATACACTGGTGTTAGCCACAGTCATCATGCTGTACACTACATCCCTAGTACTTATCCATCTTTTGACCCTTTTCCTCCAATTTCCCCTCCTTCCACCCTCTGCCTCTGGTAACCACAAGTCTGATCTATTTTTCTATCGGTTTGGTTTTTGTCTGTTTGTTTGTTTTTAGATTTCACATATAAGTGAGATCATACAGTGTTTGTTTCGAGTGAGTGTTTGCATTTCCTTTGGATATATTTCCAGAAGTGGAATTGCTGGATCATAGGTAGTTTTATTTTTATTTTTTTGAGGATCCTCCATCCTGTTTTCCATAGTGGCTACACCAATTTGCATTCTCACCAACAGTGTGCAAGGGTTCTCTTTGCTCCATATCCATACCAGCATTTGTTATCTCTTGTCTTTGTGAAGATGGCCATTCTAACAGGCATGAGATGATATCTCATTTGTATTTCCCTGATGACAAGTGATGTTGAGTATCTTTTCAAGTACCTGCTGACCTTTCATATATCTTCTTTGGAGAAATGCCTATTCAGATCCTTTGCCCATTTTTAAATTGGGTTATCTATTATTATTTTTGTTATTGAGTCATATGAGTTGTTTATATATTTTTTCTTTAATCTCTTATCAGATACATATTTGCAAATATTTTTTTCCCATTCTGTATGTTGTCTTTTCACTTTGTTTATGGTTTCTTTTGCTATGCAAAGCTTTTTAATTTGATGTAATCCCACTTATTTATTTTTTATTCTGTTACTTACGCTTTCAGTGTCATATCCAAAAAATCATTACCAGGACCCATGGTGAGGAGTTTATTACCATGTTTTCTCTTAGCAGTTTCATGGTTTCAGCTCTTGCATTAAGCCTTTAATACATTCTGAGTTAATTTTTGTGAGCAGTGTAAGATATAAATCCAGTTTCATTTTTGGACATGTGGATATCCAAATATCCCAACATCATATATTTAAAAGACTATCTATTCTCCATGGAGTATTCTTGGCTTCCTTATCAAATATTAGCTGACCAGATATGCTTAGGTTTATTTCTAGGCTCTTGGTTCTATTTCATTTGTCTATTTGTTCCTATGCCAGTACCACACTGTTTTGATGACTGTAGCTTTACAGTATAGCTTGAATCAGAAAGTGTGAAGCCTCCTGCTTTGTTCTTCTTTCTCAGGATCACTCTTGGAGTCTTTTGTGGTTCCATTTAAATTTTAGGAGTGTTTTTCTCTACTTCTGTAAAAAACGCTATTGGAATCTTGATAGGGATTGCATTGAATCTATAGATGTCTTTTGGTAGTATTGACATTTTAACAATATTAATTTTTCCAATCCATGAACATAGGATACTTTTTCATTTATTTGTATCTTCTTCAATTACTTTCATCAATGTCTTATAGTTTTCAGCATAGAGTTTTTTTTCACCTTCTAAGTTAAATTTATTCCTAAGTATTTTATTCTTTTTGATGTTATTATAGATAGTATTGATTTTTCTTCTCAGAAAATTTGTTGTTAGTGTAGAGAAATACTACTGATTTTTATATGCTAAGATGTTAATTTTGTATACTGAAACTTTATTGAATTCATTAATTAGATCTAACAGTTTTTTGGTTGAGTCTTTAGGATTTTCTCTTATATAAAATCATGTAATTGGCAAATAGAAACAATTTTACTTCTTTTCCAATTCTGCTAACTTTTGTTTCTTTTTCTTGCCTGACTGCTTTAGGATTTCTGGTACAATGTTGAGTAAGAGTGGTGTGACATCTTCGTGTTTTTCCTGATCTTAGAGAAAAGCTCAGTCATTTGTTGTCGTATACCATTACTTTGTAGACTTGGGTGCATGAAAGAAAAATAGAAAGATGTATATCACTTCAATAATTTTTAGAAGACCAGGACAGAATGTACTCTGGGATTTTCCCTATGGGTTGGGCAAGAAAGAGAAAGCAGAATAGTGGAAAAATCTAAATGTGTTGCTCAGCTTGGAGATGGTAAGTTTAGAGATAGGCACATGGAAGCTGGAGTGCTTTCAACTTCAAAGTCAGGCCAAATATGGAATAGACAGAAAAGATGTACCTTCAGGTTCAAACAAATCTTCACTGTCTGTCAAAAGAGGAGCAATGTAGCAATGAGCATCTGGTCAGATAACAGGCCAGGTACTAAAGACAAGTCTTGGGAAGTCAGAAAATAACCATTGTAACCATTGAGTAACAGACATTTTTGGCAGGAAGCCTTCTCTAAGGTCTGGAATGAAAGCAAGACTCTAGACATTGAAGACTAGCAAAGCGTAAGGACTCAAGAATTCAAATGAGATGTATGTCACAGTCCAGAATTGAATCAGAGAAATGTCACACTCTAAAATAATTGCAATCAGGAATTAGGACAGTATGACATAACAGCAAGAACCTTAGACTTAGAAAATGTAGGTTCTAGTTACCAACTGATTTATCTTGACAGATATTATAACCGCTCTGTGCCTCAGTTTACTCTCTGGTAAAGTAAGAGGATTGGACAAGATGAACCCCAATATTCCATGAGAGTGATTTAGGGATTTCCTAACCAAGGAAATACACATTTGTCCTAATCACTAGAGATTTAGGACCATCTGGGAAACCTGTACCTTGGTGTAAATTATTTTAAATTGTAAGGTTCTGGGTAAGATTTCATTTAA